GGCGCCCGCCCCCCCCCCCCCCCAGCCACTGCTTTCAGAAGGGCTGTGCGGGGCGGGGCCGTCTCTGCCAGCTCCCTACCAGGCCCACCTGGGCTCCCCTGCTGCCACACATGGGCCTTGCTATGCCCCACAATCCTGCTGAGTCGGTTGTTTCCGTAGTGACTGGCACATTCCTCCGGCTGAGGGCATGTATCCGCTGCAATCGAGTGACCCCCGGCAGAGTAATTGTGGGCAGATGCTGAGCCCTCCCCCACACAGGGTCCCGAAGCATGGGCGCCAGCCCAGGCCCCGACATCTGCCTCGCAGTCACAGAGCCCCTAGCCCGAGCCCCACGAGCTGTGATGCACACAGACAGACTGACAGGCCCCCCTGGAATGGCGCGAAGCCTGAGCTGAGGCGATGGAGGGTGGGGATGACGCAGAGGAAGGAAGGAGCAGCCCGGCCCACCCAGGGTTTTGTGGTCACCTCCATGCATGTGACCCGTCTCTATTGACATCCCAGGCCCAACCCATGGCCTGCCCCCGGACCCTGCTGTGTGGCATCGCCAGACCTGCTGCCGGGGACTGGCTGCAGAGTGACTCTGCCCAAGCGACACCAGAGTCCGGCCAGGGTCCTCCCCACTGAAAGATGACAGCAGAGCTTTTCGCGGAGAGATGGGACTTAGCACCCTGGGTCCTGCTCTCTGCTCTGGGGGGAATGGGGTATAGTGGTTAGAGCATGGGGGAAAGGGCTAGGGCTCAGGACACCTGGGTCCTGCTCTCTGCTCTGGGGAGAATGAGGACTAGTGGTTAGAATGGGCAGGGAAGCTAGGGCTCAGGACCCCTGGGTTCTGTTCTCTGCTCTGGGGGAGTGGGGTCTAGTGGTTAGAGCAGGGGTGTGCATTAGAACTCAGGACTTTTCTCCGGTGTGGTTTCCCATCTGTAATGTGGAGAGGGCGCTTAGCTGCAATGGGCTTTGCCTTTACAGCCTGCGGCGCCAAAGAAATGGGACTTGGATTTCCTTCCTGACAAAGTCACAGATGCCAGCTGGGACTCCTCCCCCACTCCTGACTCAGCAGAGCAGTGTAGTGAGCAGGGGCCGCCTGGGCTAGAAGACCCAGTGGGGCAAATGGAAACCGGCCGGGGACTCGCGTGGGAAGGGAGCGAGGCCCGGTCAGAGCAGTTCTGCCCTGCGGGGTGGGGATGGGCACGTGGCGACCGAGCTGTGACCTGGGCCTTCTCTTGCCAGGTCACTGTCCTGAATGGAACAGACATGAGGTCCCTGTATAACTTCTCTGGGGAGCAGGTGAGCAGGGCGTGCTGGCCACGTGGGCCAAGCCCTCGCGCGTGGCAGGGGCTTTGGAACGAGGCCGTGCAGGGGGAGGGGCGCGCCCTTACCCAGACCCTGCGTGTCACTGCCCCGGATGGGCCCTGGGAGCGCCGTGGCGGTGCATGGGGCTAGGAGTGCTTTGGAAATACCCTGTCAGTGGGGGGAGAAGAGTGAACCGTCGGCATGCAGGGCGAAGCATGAAACTGCGGGCGAGGGGCCTGGGGCTGCCTTGGCGCATGGGCGGCGTGTTCATTGACAGATTGTCGCGGGAGCACTGTTCCCCTCCAGGTGGCGGTGGGAACGCCCCACCAGCCCCCGTA